CCTGGATTTAATTCTAATTTAACTTGCCACTCCAAGCAGCATTGTGCTGCTGCTGAAGCCATGACACGCTCGTTTGTTCTCTCAGGATCCAAAATTACCACATGGCACTTGGAAGCCCCTCAGGCATGCATCAACTGCTCTAAGTGGGCTAGCCTTCCGGGAAATGGAGGGGGAGTGAAATTACTGCTTTTGAACACACGCACACACACACACACACACACACACATACACACACACACACACACACACACACACACATATATATACACACATAATTATTTATTGTTGTTGTTGATGGTGGTGGAGGTTGTTTGTGTGCATGTGTGTATATGTGTGTGTGTGTGTGTGTATGTGTGTGTGCATGTGCACGTGTGTATGATGGGGGGGAGTGTGCATATGCCATACCATACACGGGGAGGTCAGAGGACCACTTTGTGGAATTGTCTCTCCATTTTTAAGTGTGCTTCAGGTATTGAACTCAGATCTCTAGGATTGCTCAACAACTGTCCTTACCCACTGAGCCACCTGGCCAGCTGCAGTCACTGCTCTTGATGTATTTAGTACTGAATTTGCAAATACAGTCCCAGCAGCCTTATCTCAGCCATTTTGAACCTACGAAGATGATCACTAAATATAATTGAAATAATCCTATATCTGCAATGCCGTCATAGCTTGCACATTCACATTCTTTGGAACAAGTGCAACTTGAAGCACCAAGTCAGCTTGGCTCCTCAGTGCAGTCTAACGGGGGGAGGGGACATTGCTCTGAAAGCATGGGACATGAAGGGTAGAGCAGAAACCGAGAGGCTACTGACATCCCTTCTGCTACAGGCACCCATGCTGATGGGAAGCCCCAGAGTGAGATCCTGTGGGGCAGCGCTCTGGGATCAGGGTCGCCCTTGTACCCCTTCCTATTTACCTGGATGCCTGCAGGAGAGGATCTGTTTTTCATCAGCAGCCTCCAACACACATATCACAGTGAACGTGCGGTGAGTTAGGACGTCATGCTCCTGAACTGCTGCCAGAACAGTGATGTTTCTATACATGTGTTTGTCAATGGTTAACCCTGAATCTCCGATATCCAGTCCCACTTAAAATATGAAGCTTCAGGAAGGAGGCAGAGGAGTGAGGACTGGGCGTCTGTTATCTGAAGTCACAGCAATCACACAATCAAATGAGGATTAATTATTCAACCCAAAATTATATGTGAAATGAAGCAGGAACACCTTCCTTATGATTCGTTTCTTAAATGCTCACGAGATCCTAGGCTGTATTAATGTAAAATTACTCAGTACCAGTACCTTGATAACACAGTACTGAACTTGGTCATGGACTAACTCAGCCAAACCCTGTCCACATTGTAGTCCACCTGCAGTGCCTGCTAAGGGTGGATTACACCCTGGCTTCCAGACAGTGGCAGTCCCGCATAGCCCTGGGATGCCCTAGCTTCCTTCGGCATTCTTAAAGGTCTTCTGCGTGCTGGGTCCTCTCTGACCATGGCCCTACTAGCTTCCTGCAAAGAGACCAAGTAACGCCCGCCCGAAGGGTCAGCTTAAAGGGCGTGTGGTCTCAATCTGCTGACAGAGCCTGTACTCTTGAAAACAGGGAAACAGGGACAAAGAGAGGCCACTGAGTGCCCTCAGAACCAGCCTGACTGCATTCCACTGCTCATTCACGCACCTTTAAAAAGCATTTCACACTTTATTGTTGTTGTACCGATTCCTTGACATGGCTCTTCTTCATAACATTTAAAAAATAGTGTACTTCAGAAAGAGGAAAACCAAACACTAAGCGCTGAGCGTGAAGGCCGTCCACTTACTTCCTCGTCGTGAAGGAGTTTGCTCCCCCTCCTCAGCCTCTGCTTGTCTTCTGTGCCTGCCACACAGTTAACTGGCAGATGGATTGTATCACAACAGTGTTTCACCATTCAGTAGCTGGTCTGGTTTCAGATTTATTTTTATTTCTCATGGTATACACAAATTCCTAGCAAGATAACTGGCTAAAGTCAACCACAGGCAAAAGCTGTGTGGTTGAGTTTGTGTGAGGTGACATTAATAATCTATATGTCCTATATGTTAATGTGTAGGAAATACTGTACAAAACAGTATACTTGTTATAGACCTTAAATTTTAACTTAATGGAAACAAATGCTATCATTGTCTTGATTTGTGAAAGATGTTAAACATCACACAACACAGTAAGAGACTTTCTTTCATAAGGCTCTTAGTGCCAAAATCTGTATTTATTTTCATGGCTACATGTTCAAGAAATGAATTGTGTTTATCGTATCAGGGCACACACAGTCTTTCTTGTGCACAGGAATCATACTCTGTGCTGGAATCACTCTGAGGACTGACTAAAGCTATTCTTTCATGTTGTTTTGACTCTTTTCACAATAGACTTCTGTCCCAGCAACTGAATCAATGACGTGGAAAACCACAAATCCACGTTGATTGATAATGAAGGCTTTAGAAAGTGGCTTACCCAAGCATAGCCTGTGTTCGTTCACTCTCGTGCAGATCTCAAATTAAACTGGTTGAGGCTCAACAAACAGCACTTATATTTGATCTTAACTACTCTGAACCTTCGGCTGCCTGATCTACTATTTGTAGACTAGAAAAGATACTTTGAAAAAAAGTAAACAGGAATATGCTAGAAGGAAATGTTGGAAACCAGTTGGCTGGAGTAATGGAATATTGTGGTATCAGAAACAGTCCTTGTTTGTCACTTAAGAGATGAGGTTTTAAAATGCAGGGATGCATGCTTGTTGAACCACTACTATAATCCATAATTGAGAAGTCAGCAGACTATGACATGTGGGCAATTACACTAATTTATAAAGAAAACTTCATTGAAACTGTGCTCCTTTGTTACCATATGGTCTATAGCTGCTTTCATGATAGAATTTTAGAGTTTATTAATTACAGCATAAGACTTTATGGACCTTAACTTTTAAATAAAGTAGTTACTACCTAATCCTTTGCAAAAAAAGCCAACCAATCCTTCCTCAAAATTGAAATAGGCATCGCAAAAACTGCAATTATTTTATGTGCCTCTAATAAAGGAAACAATGCCAGCTAACCTATAACTATCCACCAGTTTCAAGAAGCAGGTTCACTTTAGAAGTTTCAAATATGGAAAAATACATATGAGAATTGAAAAGCTATGGTAGATAACATCTCACTTAAATGATCAACAGTACGTGTGTCCACTTGGATTAGGCTCAAATGCTTATGTTTAAAAGGTGGGGGGTTAAGGGTAGAGATAGAAGAGTTGAAAAATGACATCACTGGCATTACTTAGGAGGTCTTAAAAGCCCACAGTCATATATCGTAAATTTCTATGGTTGCAGATATATACGAACAGTGATCTATTTAAGTATACGTGACACAAAAGTAGGTATGAAATTGTGAAGGGAAACAGAGGGCGCTTAGACGCAGGAGGAGGTTTAGACACAAAGGAGAAGGTGGGTACAGGAGAGACGAACTCATCACACGGTGTATAGCTGTGTGCAAGGGGATCAATGTAGCGCAGTGCCGTGGACGATGATTACAAAACAGCAAAACGTTTTAATCAGAAAGATCTAAAGAAAACGGACAGTGGCTTTTCTCTGAGAAGAGGGCAAAGGATCAAGGCAAAGGGGCCTCTTTATCTGTAGTGTTCAGCTCCTAAAAGAGCTGATTTGCTAATGAAAACTTTTTTGCATTTATCTTCTGTGGGGGGGATGTCTGTGTTGGGGTGTGCATACCTGTGCCATGGCATGATCGTGAAGCCAGAAGGAAAACACACACGAGCAGCTTCTCTCCTAACTGGGGCTGTCAGGCATGGTAGGAAACGCTTTTGCCTGCCAAGCCGCCTCACTGCCTTAATTTCTCTCCAAAACTAATTTTAATTTTGATTTTTAAATGCATGTAGAAGAACTAGTCATAAACACATTAAGGCATCTCAAAACAAAAACATCAAAGTGGGAAAACCTGAAAAGGGGGGGGGGCACGGGGGAGACAGAATGTCAGTAATGGTAAATGTGTCTTGTAAAAACAGACGATTGTTTCTTCAGCCTATTTCATTATAATTTCAGAGAACTTCATGGGTTGCTAATAAAAAGATGAGTCATGTTCTTTCTGTCTCAATCAAAAGAGATTAAGGTTTGAAAAAGGTACATGTAAATGAATTACCTGACATTACAAACTAATCCTGTTTTTCTACTGGGCATTAAAACGAAACAACACGCAAGTCTGGGCCAAACTTCGTAGTTGAGGTCTTTTTTTTCTCATAATAGTAGTACAGCTAATCTTTAAAGACAATGCGCTTTATTCCTCACCTCAGAGAAAAACCACCAAGTAATACGAAAGTTAAATATCAAGTGCTTTTCTCTGCACAGAAACTGCTTGTCGTGAGTCACCATGTTGATGCACTGATGCCATTTTTTTCACCCTGACCTTGGTTGTTTTGAAATGCGCACTGTGGTTTCGCAGAGCTGTATAACGCCGCATGCAGTTCAGATGCCCCTCTTATTAAATATGTTCCTATTGATGTTGTCTAGAGCAGAGCTTCCTAAAACATTCTCAAGAAAGACTAGATATTCAAAGCTGGGCTGTTAACGTAGCCCCAGTAAGGGAGATTTGCGTCCTTGTTTGGGTTTGTTGCATTTGATTGGCTTGGTGGGTTTGGATTTTCAGAAACTGGATTTATTCCATGGCCGAGGCTGACCTCCGCCTCTAACTCCTCCTGCCTCAGCCTCTCACATGCTGAGATCACACGCCTGCATCGCTGTGCCTAGTGTGCTGCTGTGAGCATTGCCTTTCTCTCCCTGGAGCTCTTTACCCAAGAAGAGCCCTGCTGCTTTCTTTAGCTATTGAGACACATGCAGGAGCTGAGAGCAGGGTGTATGGTCATGGAGACCATGAGGCTGCAGAGTTCAAGACCACATTCTCAGCCTGCTAAGGGTCCAGCTGAAGGGCTGTGCTTCTCACCGTGTAACGACTCTCTTTCTCTTTCAGTTCAATCTCACCATTTAGTATTGAGAGCACAAGACGCCAGAGACGATCAGAATCCCCGGACTCCAGGAAGCGGCGCATCCACAGATGTGACTTTGAAGGATGCAACAAAGTATACACAAAAAGTTCTCACCTGAAGGCACACCGGAGAACACACACAGGTACAGCTCCCATGGGCTTCTCAGTGGGGGTCAGGGGGAGTGAGAAATGATGACAGCTCACCCAGTCATTTGTCTATGACTGGCATATTTAGAATTTAGTTCATTCCTTCTGTCTTGCATACATGTTTTAAATGCTGTGAACAGAATAAGCTAATCATCTTTCTGATAATCAACTTAGCTACCTAATAATTATGTAATTTATTGAGTTTAAAAATATTCACAGGGCACCTCCAACAGTAAGCTGAACAAAATTCTTCTTCCCTTCCTTCAAGTAAACATCTAACCTACCACCATCATTAGGTCACCTGTGTTCTGTTTTCAATACTCTTCCTTGTAAGCATCAGAGAAATAAACTCAAAATTTGTATGCACAAAGCAATGAAATATTTTTAAAACCAGTTCCATAAATCCAGTTTGATTCTCCCTAGTAGGAGGGAATTTTCAATACTAGCCGAGAAAAGAAATTGATACAAGTAATTCACAAGTTTGCAACAATTCAACTATCCATCCTTCTGTTCACCTCTGCTCCACCCATTTAGAAAGCCCTGCTTGTCATTATTAGCCACTGCCCGCAATGTCTTTTTCTGTGCTGTGTAACCGTTAGCTGGCAGCTCCTGAGTTCCTTCTGAATCCCCTTAATGGCAGCTATTGGCAAGAAACGGAGGACAAGAGGAGCAGCCACTGTCTCTCTGCCTTCCCTAGACAAGTGACTGGTGACTAGAGTCAGTGACACACAAAGAAACAGATGAAACAGGGAAACAGCCATGGGCTTTGCTGCTGACACAGGCCACAGTCAAGCAAGTCCTGTCCAGTGCCTACCGTTGACACAGACCAGACTCCAGCATCATTCTCTCATGGGACACTTCAAATGTCATAGATTCCTGTGTGCCTTTGTAAAAGTGCTCTCCATCTTATCAAAATAACCACACAAGGCAATCGCTCCCCAGATTATGTAGTAAAATCATTTAAACTGGCCTTCTTTGATTTTTTCTTTAGCCCATGCTACTACATCAGTTTGCAAAGACGTGGACCAGAAGCACTAATCAGGCCTGCTATCTGCAGGGGCTGAAAATGGGTGCAACATGCTATAAGTTCATGAGTTTAATCAGAGTCACCCCACTAATGTGCCCATGAGCACATCTTGTCATGCTGATTGTTATTGAGGCTCACTGGGTTTACAACTGAGTAAAACTGTTGATGACCCACCCTGCACAGCACCTTCCAGTACTGTGACAGCTAGCCAACAGGAAGTAAGTTTCCTGGTCAGTAACAACTTGTCTTCTCCATACCGTGTGACCAAAGTATGTGATGACTTTAGCAATGGGGTCTTACTATCAATTATTGGTGGGTAACCAAGAACAATGGCAAAAGCTTGTATTGTTTTGGTGGCCTCTGGGACACCCATGATCAACTCGAGAAATATCCCTCCCGTACCTGGCGCTGGACTCCATATTTGGCAGCCTGTGACTTCAGAGAGAAGTAGCATCTCATGTGGAGGGCAAGTTCAATTAAACAGGAGGCAACTAAGGAAAATGGCAATTGCCTGTACTGCTTTACGGGTCTTTTGGATGCTTCTGACCAATACCCATTGCCTGGTCCCTTAGTTTTTGGTTTCTGATTGCCTCTTCCGTGCTTCCCCTCTGCTCCCAATCCCTTGCTACCTTCCTCCTTAACTCTCTGCTCCTCCCTGTCCTTTGGTTGTGAACTTCCTCATGAGAAGCTTTTACCTGTTTCTCAGGCACTACTTCCAGTTTTGTGATTTGTTTATTTAGTTCCTGCAGTTCTGGGAATTGAACCCACAGCATTGCACACACTACCAAGAGATGGACCACTGAGTTCCATCCTCAGCCCGCTGGACAATTTTTAAATCACCTGCTCCATCATTAAGCCAAAGAAATGAGCATAAAGACATGAAAGTCCACAAGTATCTTCTATTAGCAAACAATAAACACAAATAATAGCAGAAAGTGTCATTGGGCCATGTCACTGATTGTTATGGGGCAATTTCTACATGCACATACATAAATTGTCTTCAGTGAATCATCACATCTGTTGAGCTGTTCCCATTCTCCTTGAGCTTTCTGGAATATATATTAGCCTCATTTTCACACAGACTCCTTATTCAGTGGGACACAGTGAAAGAGGGGAGGGTTTTTAATCACATACGATTAAAGGCCTTACTTCCCCAGCACTATTGGACTTCATCTTACAGGTTTTAACATACACTAAGCGAGTAGAAGAGATGTCATTTATTCCCTACAATTCAAAGCAACATAAACCTTGAATGCTGAAGCTGGATTAATGAGCTTGACTTATTAAAAAGATGACCTCATAGACTTTGAAGGTCACAGTGGCCTTAGACGTAACAGCACAGAGTATGTTTTCTAATTAGAGGGAACCCTTGCCTGTCACCTCTCACAGGAGCAAGTCACCGCCCGGCTGTTCTCTGCACACTTGCACATCTTTTGTCTTGTTCGGTCTGCATAGCGACCTGGGAGCTGCAGCTGTTGAGATCTTTTTCACACGAGCGTGGCTGCCCCCACACCACGTCTCCCACCTCTCCTTATAAACGCACAGTCACAGCTTGTTTCTCAGCTAGACATTGGGTGCAGATGGCAGCCTGCATCTGTCCCTTGTGGTGCAGTTTGGGGCATCCAGATGAATGGGAACCCCTCAAATGATCATACATTTGCTGTCACTGGCTGGTTCTAATGGTCTTCTCGACTCCACCATGAGCCACAGCATCTTTTGGTCCTCAAGTCAGACACTCCACATTTTGTCAGTCATGCTTTGTCACACTGACTTAAGGTTTGTGGTCCTTATCTGTTGAGGGAAAAGACCTTTATGAACTTCTCTTAACGTGTACAATATACATTTAAGTCTTCTGGGAATTAACTCCTTAGAGCCAACTCAATCAAGAAATGCTGCCAGCTAGATCTAGTGTATCCATTGTAGTAGACACTGATTTCTTTCTACTAGGCTTGTAATGCTGGTGCTGTCCCTGAAATGACTGCCTTGGGAGTGGTGTTGAGGCAACATCTGGAGACAAAGGACAAACTTGCTAGTCGGGGAGTTTCTATATACTTTTTCCAATCTAGAAACTAAGTATTATAAGCCCACTGTAGTGACTTGATTTTAATATGTTGAACTCAATAAGCTGGAAGGATCTGAATGGTCCCCGCCCCCCCAACCATCTCACCTTCAGTTTCTCCATCTTTGCCAGTTAATTGATAGGTAGACTGATCATGACAGATGCCAAGAAAATGCCCTGAGCTGTAATCCTAGAGACCTCCATAGGGCAGGCTGTTACGTCTTTTAAATAGCTAGCTATGCTGCCCCTAGTCTGCCTCAAAATATCTCTGCTAGATTCCTGCTTAAAACCCAAAACATATCAAATCCATTCACCCACTTAGCAGAAAATTGGTGATAGCCAGCCCTCTGTATCCAAAAGGTCTGCTTCTGTGCAATCAGCTAGCCTTGGGTTGTCCTCAGCTAGCCTTGGGTTGTCCTCAGCTAGCCTTGGGTTGTCCTCAGCCTCTGTGGGCTGTTTCTTGTCAGCACTCTCTCAGCAGAATGTATAGCAGCTGTGGGAAGTATTTGCATTGTATCAGGTAGATCTTATCTGAAGTGTACAGGAAGATGTGTGGAGGTGAAACGCAAATGTTTCACTGGTTTCTATCTTACACCTTGACCTTGAGTTTTGTTATCTAAGGGGGCTGGGGCAGGGGCACGAGCCAGTTCCCTGGTGCTAAGGGACCACTTTAGTCTGTGCAGTCATAGCCTTAATTGTCAAATGGAAAGAAAATAAAGTTTGGTTAACTTGTTGGAACTGGTGTCAAGTGATCCTAGGCTAGCTTATAATTTATAATTATACACGAGATTTCATAACTTGGTGAGTAAAATGTCATCAACACTGGTTCTATAGAAATTCAGGCTGGCTTGCATGCTTTTCATAAACATCTTCTTAGCCTTACCTTTGCTTCAGGCATGTTGAGTAAGATCCTTATGTGTGACCAATAATACTTAATGTGGAGTTTGGGATTATAACAGATGACTTATGAAATCCAAGCACGCTATGGGAGGGAGTGAGCAAGCTGCAATGAGAAACTTTAAGAATGTCACAGTAATTTTCCTGTTAATACTTTAACTTTCTGCACTTTATTAGTGCCTGATCAGTTGTGAATTTCCTCAGGACTTAAAGATGTAAACACTCTGTAGGGATACAGAAAAAAAAAAAAAAAAAAAGACCCTTTCAAGATAATTAGCAATAAACACACAGTTAAAGAAGTATTTGGAGGTGGACATTACAATTTAAAAATAATCAACTATATTTTGTTATTGTGCCACGTAGGTGAAAACACGGATATGTTAGCAGGTATTTCGAAATGTTGTCATTGTAGCAACACCTGTGGAGGCTGCACTGTTAAGGAACATTACAGAGGAGAACGTGTAGTTCGAGCCACATCACACATCAGCCAGCAGCCCTCTTGTCCATATCTTCTCCTCCCAATGAGGTGTGCAGTACGTTTAAATGAAAATGCGCATTTAAGCTCATGGGGTCCTATTTGTGCTATGAATAACTACTGTCGGTTTTCTTCACTTAACGATCGTGCGTGCAATATTAAATTATCTAAGTACGTATTTTAAAAGAAAATATGGGTGTTATTCAGAATGTTCACCATTGTCTAATGCAGTGCTTCTCAACCTGTGGGTCGAGACCCCTTTGCAAGTAGAATGAACCTTTCACAGAGGTTGCCTAATACCATACATAGGAAAACAGACATTTATATTTTGATTCAAAACACTAGCGAAATTACACATGTGAAGTAGCAACAAAAATAATTTTATGGTTGGGGGTCACCACAGCCTGGAGAACTGTGTTAAAGGGCCGCAGCAGCACGAGGAAAGCTGAGAATCACTGAAAGCTTAAGAGCTCTAGTGATTTATTTCTACAGTGCTGTTCTTTAACACACAGGTGTCAGGAATTCTTACAGCCACTAG